GCTACTCAGGAGGCTGAGGCAGGAGAATTGCCTGAACCCAGGAGGCGGAGGTTGCGGTGAGCCGAGATCGCACCATTGCACTCCAGCCTGGGTAACAAGAGCAAAACTCTGTCTCAAAAAAAAAAAAAAAAAAATTGTCTTGTCATGATGAACCCATTCTGTGTCCCCATCTTCCCTTCCATTCTGGCTAATGGTCAGGGGTGGAGTAGAACTTCCAGAAACAGAAAGCTAAGATCTGCCTCCAGGAGAGACTCTGGCAGCTGGAGAAGGAAAATGGAAGAGGGGTGGATTTAACATTTCTTTTTACTTCTCAGATTTTCCCCAGCAAAACCCTGGAAAAATTAAAGGCCAATGTTAAAATACGAAATGATCTGCTAAATAAAATAATTGGAAATTACAAGGTAGGTAATAGAGCAGATATTATATTCTCAATAGTTATGTTAGGCTGAAAGTAATCATGAGAGCAGGGTGGGGTCCATTCTACAAACGTGGGCACTTCAAAACCTAGCAGACAACCTGGCACATAATAGATGTACAATAAAAACTGACTTAAGGGCCAGGCATGGTGGCTCGTGCCTGTAATCCCAGCACTTTGGGAGGCTAAGGCGGGTGGACCGTTTGAGGTCAGTAGTTTGAGACCAGCCTGGGCAATATGGTGAAACCCCATCTCTACTAAAAATACAAAAACTAGGCCGGGCGAAGTGGCTCATACCTGTAATCCCAGCACTTTGGGAGGCTGAGGCGGGTGGATCACCAGAGGTCAGGAGTTTGAGACCAGACTGACCCACATGGAGAAACCCCATCTCTACTAAAAATACAAAACTAGCCGGGCATGGTGGCGCATGCCTGTAATCCCAGCTACTTGGGAAGCTGAGACAGGAGAATTGCTTGAACCTGGGAGGCGGAGGTTGTGGTAAGCCGAGATTGCACCACTGCACTCCAGCCTGAACAACAAAAGTGAAACTCCGTCTCAAAACCAAAACTAGTCAAACGTGGTAACGGGCACCTATAGTCCCAACTACCCAGGGGGCTGAGGCAGGAGAATCTCTTGAACCCAGGAAGCAGAGGTTGCAGTGAGCCGGGATCGAGCCATTGTACTCCAGACTGCGCATTGCAGCAAGACTCCTCAAAAAAAAAAAAACTGACTTAAGGAGTTGGGATGGAAAAGTGAGGAACTGAAGAGGATCCTAGAAGAGACCTACCCCTCCACCAAATTTAAAGGCCCAGGGCTGCCTCCTACCTCCACAAGCTTGTAGGTCCTGCCCAGACCCACTCCACTTCCAAGTGGAAGGAGCCTTGTTATCTCTAGTCGGGGACAGAAGTATGGCAGGAGTGTCACCGATGAGGCTCCTTCCTTATTACTGTCTCCCAACCTCACCCAACCCAGGAGAAATTCCGCAGCGACTCTATCATCAGCATGCTGGATGTCCTGATGCAAGCGAAGATGAATGCGGATAATGGCAACACCAGCCCAGATCAAGACGCAGAGCTGCTTTCAGAAAACCACATTCTCACCACCATAGGGGACATCTTTGGGGCCGGCGTGGAGACCACCACCTCTGTGGTCAAGTGGATCGTGGCCTACCTGCTGCACAATCCTCAGGTGTGCATCCCCCTAATCAATCCTAGACCCCTGCCAGCCCAACCACTGGGCTCCAGAGAGAGGGAGAGGCAATTCCTCAGGCTTTCTATGCAGGAAGACTAGGACTGCCCTGCCCCTTACCCAAGCTGTGGTTGGCTTTGACTGCCCCATCTTCTGGAAGCAGGGCCTGGGCCTCAGAGCCGCTACTGGGAAGGGACTGGACAAGCTCTTCTGGATGTCACAGTTGGATTCCTCTATAAGCCCATGCTTCTCCTGGGCTTACACAAAACTGGTCACCTCCAACCTACTCTGGTCTGCAGGTGAAGAAGAAGCTCTACGAGGAGATTGACCAGAATGTGGGTTTCAACCGCACACCAACGATCAGTGACCGTAGCTGTCTGCTCCTGCTGGAGGCCACCATCCGAGAGGTGCTTCGCATCAGGCCCGTGGCCCCTATGCTCATCCCCCACAAGGCCAACGTTGACTCCAGGTGCGCCTGCCCTCCCAGCAACCTCTAGTCCCATGGTGCATCTAACACTGCTTGCCAGCCCACCTGGCTCCCCCTAGCCCCAGCCTGCCGACCAACCTAAAGCCAGTCAACCATTGACTACTAAAAAATCATCCTACCAGGTCAGGCACGGTGGCACACGCCTGTAATCCCAGCACTTTGGGAGGCCAAGGTGGGTGGATCACGAGGTCAAGAGATGGAGACCATCCTGGCTAACACAGTGAAACCCCGTCTCTACTAAAAATAAAGAAAAATTAGCCAGGCCTGGTGGTGGTGGCACGTGCCTATAATCCCAGCTACTTGAGAGGCTGAGGCAGGAGAATCGCTTGAACCTGGGAGGTGGAGGTTGCAGTGAGCCGAGATTGTGCCACTACACTCCAGCCTGGGCAACAGAGCAAGGCTCCATCTCAAAAAAAAAAAAAAAAAAAAATCCTGTCCCCGGTCCTATGGCTTTGTGTCTCCACCACCCACAGACAGACATTGACTCATCCACAGATCTGCCTGACTTCTGGGAGAAGCTTCCTGCTGCCCTCGGAGACATGTGGTCTGGGATGAAAGACTGGGAGCTCCATGCTCCAAGTCCAACCAGCTGCAGCACACACATAGCATGCGCCGCAGCGGCAACGCACACCTCCATGCATGCCAGACACCAAGGTCCACAGACACAGGGGTTCAGACATAAGTGCCTGTCAGGAGGGAAGGGCTGGATTTAGATTTGATCTGGCAGAAGCTGAGGAAAAGACTGAGTGGGAAGGACGGAGTAAAGGGCGCTTCCCCTACGGTAGAAGAATGAGGGGGCATGAGGCTGATCAGGGAAGGAAGGACGAAGTTCCACGTGTTCAGATTCGCTCAGGGTGGCTGGCAAAATATTAAGGGAAAGATTAGGGAAGTCATAGATTATAGTCTCAAACCTTTTAGAAGGCCGAAAAGTTTTTATTAACTTATAGAACAGGCTGAAAGCAGCCCGTTCTTACGTTAGAAAAATAAGTCAGAAAGTGAAGATTAAAATAATACGAGCTTCCCCAGTTAAGTCTGTTTACCTCACATTCCTTTGTCTGTTTACTCGTGTAAACTTTGTGCTAAATAGTCCTCTCAAGAAGTCAAAGAATTACCCTTTAATGGTGTTTATTCTAGGCCCCAGAACCAAGACCTGTTATCATTCGTAAAACCACTCTTTAGTCATGTTAATTACCCACATGCATACTGACTTAAAACCTCTGTTATTAAATCTATACTGAATAAATGCGAGGAAGAAAAAAGGGTACTCATCAGTTAGCTGCCATCGCCCTCTGAAAGCAGATAATGACCCTCTAGCCCAACTCTTAAGCTGCACTCCAGTATGTAACGGTGTATTTCATTCATCTGTTGCTAAGTCAAAGTCTGCAAAAACAGACCTCTGCAAATACTGATCAACATCTCATAGAGCCGCTTTCCCCCTCCTCCCTGGAGCAGCATTGGTGAGTTTGCTGTGGACAAGGGTACCCATGTTGTTATCAATCTGTGGGCGCTGCATCACAACGAAGAGTGGCACCAGCCGGACAAGTTCATGCCTGGTGAGTCCCTGTCCTGTCCTGTACCCTGGGCCACACAGCCAGCCTGGACTCTGCTCCGCCACTCCAGCACCCCTTCACCTCTGCCACGCTTGCTGCTAGAAAACTCAGCTCCAACTCCACGGACCTGTCGACACCCTCATCCTGCCATAGACTTACCCAAACTCTTCGCAGCTGGGTTTTCCACACTCTTCTTCCAACCCTCCAAGAAGCCCTCTAGGCCTCTGTCTGCCATTCAGTCTCTCGCTTCTCCCCTTGGATGGTGGTATTTTCATAGGTTAATTCCACCTCTTTTCCATCCTGAATATTTCATTTCCTCTGTGTCCTTAAAGGTAACCTGAGAGCAGGGCTGTATCTGTCCTCGGGCTGAGGTTCCCCCACAATAAGGCTACATTCTCAGATTGGGGTTCCCTGGGCAGGCAGGGCCATGTCTCCCCTGCCTCTCCTTGCTCCTGCCCTAGCCCCTGGCTGATGCCACTCCTTGCCTGCAGAGCGTTTCTTGAATCAAGCGGGAACCCAGCTCATCTCACCGACATTAAGCTACTTGCCCTTCGGAGCAGGACCTCGCTCCTGTATAGGTGAGATCCTGGCCCGCCAGGAGCTCTTCCTCATCATGTCCTGGATGCTGCAGAGGTTCGACCTGGAGGTGCCAGATGATGGGCAGCTGCCCTCCCTGGAAGGCAACCCCAAGGTGGTCTTTATGATCGACTCTTTCAAAGTGAAGATCAAGGTGCGCCAGGCCTGGAGGGAAGCCCAGGCTGAGGGTACCACCTAAAAGCTGTAACTCATAGCCCCTGTCCACCCTGTGGTCCCACAACACGGATTTAGAGGTGCAACCACCCCCCGCTTCTCTGCCGTTCTTCCGCGCTCCCAGACCACTCTGCCTTCTTTTCCAGCCTGTGGCAATGTCAGTGATGTGCATAAACAGTTTTTTTCATAAGGTCCCTGAGTATATTCATTTGCTCACTCAATCTTTCAACACAGATTTTATTGAGCACCTACTATGTGCCATTCACTGTCTCAGGACACTCGAGCTCCGTGGTCTCTGAAGCTTACATTCTACTGAGGGCTAACAAGTATATAAGATGTTCAGAGACTCGTAAGTGCTTTGAAGTCAATCACAATTTGTGTGATGTGAT